GGATACGTCATAGAAATACACAGGTCAAGTATGAATTTGGTCATGGTCCGATAATTTTTGACAGTTATACATGTACCTCTTGAACTTAAAAAAAAAGAAGACATTTTCAGTTTCCGCTCTCTAACTTTTGTAGGGATGTATGTATAAGATTGAAATTGCATATGCAGGTATTTTACCAGAAAATACAGGTCAAGATCGAATTTGGTCATGGTCCGATGATTTTTGACAGAGTTATCCCTCTTGAACTTAGAACTTAGAAAAAAATGAGAAATTTTCAGTTTCCGCTCTCTAACTTTTGTAGGGATGTACAGTTGTATGTATAGGGTTGAAATTGCATGTGCAGGTATTTTACAAGAAAATACAGGTCAAATTTGAATTGGTCATGGTCCGATGATTTTTGACAGAGTTATCCCTTTTGAACCTAGAAAAGATAAGAATGCAGTTTTTGCTCTCTAACTTTTGTAGGGAGGTACAGTGTATGTTATAGGTTGAAACTGCATATGCAGGTATTTTATCAGAAAATACGGGTCAAGTTTGAATACAAATTTAAAACTATGTATTGCATTTGAAATTTTGGCTGCTTGCGGGAGCATTCGTGGCGCTAACGACCAGGTATGGGCACGATTACTGAAAAATGTAAATCAATTACTTAGAGGAATTTTATGTAATCGATTAGTAATCAATTACAATCATTTTTGTCCTGTAATTGTTTTTAATCGATTACTTTGGAAGATGTTACCGATTAATAATCGATTACTTCCGAGTTTTTATCCCCTCAAGTTAAAATTATTGAAAAGTTATAATTGTAATGTTGATGATATCCACTAAATTTTTTTTTTGTTTTTTTTGTGTTCCTGCAGATCAAGTGCATTCTTTGAAGGTTTTATTCTGGTTTCATGTCATATTTTAGACCTAACATTTTCACTAAATGCCAAAAGGAGGGATTCTCTACCATGGACAATGGAGACATGCAGGCATGATATCGAAGCCATCTTAGGACTAAGACATATCTTAAGATATATCTTAGTCGTAAGTGAGGCCATCGAATCTGTTCTAATTTAAGACATATCTTAGGATTTCTCCTAAAGTTAAGACATTGCAAGACCTCTCCTAACATGAACTTAGGAGACTCCAAACATTATGCAGCCGTTCATTTCCTATCGGACACGTAGTTTTGTTTTTTATGGGGGGGGGGGGGTTCTCCCTATTACTTTTCTCCCTTAAACCTTTTATATGATTTTTTGTCTCCCCCCCCCCCCGCCCCCCTTAGCCGAAGTAAATATATCAAGTTTAGAAGTTTTTCTTTATTGTGCTTCTCAGAGTTAATCAGGAACTTTTTTTGTTTATAATCTGCGTTATAACCCCGACCCCTTTCCCTCCAACACTGAGTGCTCCATTCCTACTTATGCATAAATAATTATGATGATTCTTCTAAGCAATAAATAAATTAAATTGAATTGATTTAATATTGGAATTAGTGGTCACAATTCCAGAAGTATTTAAAGTTACATTTCGAAAACGTTGGGATTTCTTTGATGGTTCATTACATGCATATGCGTTAAAACCTAAAGCAATACTAATTATTATTCAGTCGAAGATTACGAATGAATGAGGATAATAGCACTAACCAGCACGGGATTATTTTAGCGGGATACAGTAACTTTAAGAGGTCACCTCCAAGGGCTATCCATGCTCGCTGTAGCTTATATGAAATGGATGGAGATTCTATACCGCGTCAAGAGATAAGTTATCTTACTAGCGAGGCAGTATTTCCCTCTCTAAGTACTGACTGCTACATTACTCGCCCAAGCTAAGTTAACTAAAATACCCGACGGGTTTATATGCTAGTTTGTTACTTATACAAACTTTATTTATCTAGACTAAGTTTGCTGTGCAAGTATATTGAAGTGTGAAAATTTGTACAAACTTAACTTTTAAACTTTTTTCAATATGTATGTTTTCATATTTTCTACATTATTTAGAGAGAGAGAGATAGAGAGATCGAGATGTCCCATTAATTAACTTATTAAATAAGAAAGTTTTAAGAATTAGACAATTGTCTATGAATATTTCTCTCCAATTTAATTTTAACTAGTTATTAAAAAACAGTAAGTCCCCATAATTATTTTTTTTTATTGTAACATATAACTATAATTATCATAAAAATAATCTATGAAGTTACAATATTTGAGATTTGTCTTAAGAATCTCCTGTCTATCCTAATAAAGACATTCCTAAGAGAGCTTCTATGTCTATCTTAAGAACTCTCTTAGGACCATCCTAAGTTTTGCCCTCAGACATCTCTTATGTCATATCTTAGGACTATTCTTATGACACTTTCGATAGCATACCTGCTGGTTCCTGCTATAAAGTATGAGAGGAATAAATTATTACTTTCGACATTGGATCTGAACCTCCATATTTATTGACTTGGTTGTAGAAATTATTTAATAATTTATTGTATTTTGGAGGATTTGGACTGCCCGCATGTTGGCAGTACACATAAAAAATTCCTATGTCTTCTCTCGAAAAAATAAGTTTAGAATTCTTATTGATAAACATGAGAACTATCAATTATAAAAGTTAAAATGGGTAGGTCAAAGCTCACATCTCATTATCTGCATGTCAAGGATGTCCCAGACAATTAGCCAAGATAAACAAACAGTGAAACTTACCCCCTGTCTTTAAAAATACAGACAATTATAACCTTTCACTGACAAAACAAACAAGCATTCTGAGAGTATTGCATTAGCAATACTAGTCCCCTACCGGCATATGTAATCTGGTTTCCGTTAAAAATTGAAAATGCCATAATTCCGTCAAAAATCATTGAAACGGAACGAAATGCAAACTTAATCTATAACTAATCAAGGTAAAGTCACATACCAAAAATCAGCTCAATATCTGCAAGCGTTTAGAAAAAAAAAATCGCGTTTAGAAAAAAAAGTGCGGAAAACAAAGTGGGACAGACTGACAGACAGACAGAGGGACAGACGGACGGACAGACTCAGAGGAAACCTATAGTCCCCTCCGGTTTCATCGGTAGGGGACTAATAACCATATAATTTTAATGAAAACAGAATGATTTTAAAATTTTTAAGTTACTAAAACACAAAAAAACAGAAATGAATATTAAGTATTTCATCTTCTTTTTTCCAAATTTAATTTAGTTTTTTAGTCCCCTACCGGTGAAACCGGAGGGGACTATAGGTTTCCTCTGAGTCTGTCCGTCCGTCTGTCTGTCTGTCTGTCTGTCTGTCTAGCTGTCCCTCTGTCTGTCTGTCAGTCTGTCCCACTTAGTTTTCCGCACTTTTTCCTAAACGCTTGCAGATATTGAGCTGATTTTTGGCCTGTGAGTGTATCTTGATGAGTTACAGATCAAGTTCGCATTTCGTTCCGCTTCATTGATTTTTGACGGAATTACATGTACGACCTTTTCAATTTTTTCGCAATTTTTTTTCTAAACGCTTGCAGATATTGAGCTGATTTTTTGGTATGTGACTTTACCTTGATTAGTTATAGATTAAGTTTGCATTTCGTTCTGTTTCAATGATTTTTGACGGAATTATGGCATTTTCAATTTTTAACGGGAACCAGATTACACTTGCCGGTAGGGGACAAGTATTGCTAATGCAATACTCTCAGAATACTTGTTTACCGTATTATTTATATTTAATACAGCACTTTAAATCTGTTTTAGCTATTTAATATAATTTTTTATGATAAGACAAAGTTTTTCAGCATCTGAAATACAAAAAGGACATACACCAAGAGGGCAGTAAGTTCAAATGTAAAATGCACACAGAAAATCTGTATATGTTATTGATAAATGGTTGAAATATACTTCTGAATTATTTAATACTAGACCAGTAGGCCTGTAATGCAAATTTTATTGTGAACATTATCAAACGTATGATTATCATAATAAAAGTTAGGAAATCAACATATATCACTGGGTGATTTTTTTTAAATATATATTTATGTGTGACTGACTGGAAATAATTCTCCAAAATAACATTCATTTATGCATAAAAAAATCGAAAAAATAATTATTGTTACATTGAAAATTTTAGTTGTAATCGATTAAATTACGATTACAAGTAATTGAAAATCTGTTCGAATACCGATTACTGTCGATTACATGAAAAAAGTAATCCTGTTATCGACACATCTAGTATTAGAAAAATTTAATCCCTTGGACATGCAGGAGAGAATATGTTCGATTTTCTGGAGTCTCTAGTAAAATATTTTCTCTGTACATACAAAACCAAGCAAGGTAAAAATACAAATTGGAAAAAGAAAAATAAACATTTATATTATGCAAATTAAGAGAAATTGGAGCTTTTAAAAATGATCGAGTTGTGTTCAATGAGGATAGCTCTTGTATAGAATTGAGTTTCAATACCAACTACATGTTGTTATCGTGACATCAATTTTCCCGCGAATTGTGATTAGCATATAGAAAATTAGTGAAATTACAATTTTACATAGTAAATTACTGTATTTTCAACATTTCTCAATCAATTAACGTGAACCTTTTAATGATCTGTGATTATCCCCAAAGGGAGTTGTTCAAAGTATAATGCATTGATCAAAAAAGTAAAATTTCAACGTCAAAGTCTATAATCTGATCTATTAGCTATTTTTATTTAAATAAAAATATAAAAATTGTAGAAATATCAAAGTCCTACAAAGTTTTTTTTAAATTATGTTTTTAATGCATTTTCAGAAATGGATTCCCAGTTATTCCAATGCAGTTTGACGTGAAGTCCAACCTAATGAAAAGATGTAATCTGTGCAAAGTTTCATGGTATTGCTCAAAAGAATGCCAACGAAAACATTGGAAGGCTGGCCACAGGGAAGAGTGCAGAAAAGATGTTACAACTAGCGAAACAACGAACAATAAGGAAAAAGAATTGAAGTATGTAAAATATTCGCTAAATTTACATACTAGTAAGAATAAAGATGACAGCTGCTCTTTCTGTGGACTTGAAGGAACCATGAAACTTTGTAAAAGATGCACATTCCAAAAGTATTGTTCAGTTGATTGTCAAACGAAAGATTGGCCAAGACACAAACCTAACTGTGTCAAGAGAGAAACAATTAAAAACTGTCACACTAAATGCCCTGTAGACCTAAAAACCTCTCCTATATGTGCAAATTGCAGGAGAGAAAACAGTTTCCTTCAATGCATACATTGCAGTAGAGTTTATTATTGTTCCCAACTTTGTCAAAAGAAAGATTGGACCAAACATAAGACTTTTTGCAAAGTACACAAATTTAAGGAAAAGAATGAAACATTGAGCGCCATCGAGTGTTCCCAGCTAGGTCTTGTGACACCCGAAGAGCACAGAGGAAGGAATCCAAACGACTCTAAATGTTCTCTCTCGCCAGAATGGATGTCAGGAGAATATTTTAACAATTTTACCTGCAATCATTGTGAAAATAACACCTGCAAAACTTCATGTCCTTTGTGTAAAGCTGTTTTCTACTGTTCGGAAACATGCAGAAATCTAGATGAACCAAATCACAAGAAAAATTGCGATTATTTTCAGTTCTATGAAATGACCATCTACGATCGCGATATCTCTTTTAGATGTGTGTCTAGTAATCCGAACTCTATCTATTCACCAAAACATGCCTTTTTTGACCATATGAAGAATCCTATGCTTGTGAGAGATGGCGCAGATTTAACATTAATTGTCGAACGAACACCTGAATCAGTGAAGACTGCCGTAGAAAAATCAAAAGAATTGTTTCCAGCTTTTAGTTTGATAACCCGACTTCGAGAAATACCTCTTGAGAAAACAACTTTAAGAGAATCCAATATCTGTACCATTCCAAATATGTTTTTGTTGTATATAAGAAGATTCCACGACTACCGAGGGCGGCATAACGTTTATCTACAGGTAGGAATGCATAATTATTTATTACAACCCCTAAAAATTTGCAGATGTACTTTTCCCAAAATAACTTTTAGTCATGGTCATTTAGTATTTAATTCGATAGGCTTTTAGCAGCTGAATGTCTGAGACTAAACTACATATCTAGTAATTATATAGTTTTGCATTTTTGCCAAAGTTTTCGGTTCAGTCAAGTTTTTAAAGAAATATAGTTGATAAATATTCAGATCCTTTTTTAACAAGGTAGATTGGACAGAATTTCAAAAATGCCACATTCGTTACTTCTAGTTCATTCCTGAAATTGCAAACAAGTGTTTTTATGAGTGGTCTTGAAATAAATACATGTATTTCCAAATATCGAAGCAATTCAACCTTCAAAATTCCTATATTCTGTTTAGCTACCATATACCGGTATAATATTATATATTAATATCCACATATAGCTTTTCCTACAATTCTTCTACATTTGTATGTTGAAAAATTAACACTTTTTCTTTGCATATACGAGGGTTGATCCAACTGCTTTAAAATCTTTAATAATTGAATGTTTTCATTAAAACTTTATATACTAACACTTATATCTATTATATTTTGACTGTTGCTCTAAAATTTCATTCAGTATACATTTTATAAAATATTTAAATAAACACGACATTGGGTATCGTCTATCGCCGTACGGCAAGAATGTACCGACATCTCTTCGACACTCATTTTAAATCTGATTATAAATAAGATTTACGCAAAAAGGAATGAATTTTGAAATAACAGTTTGACAAAGTTCAAATAGTTTTAATGTAACAACTCAAAACATGGATTATAGCAACATGGTGGTAAAGATTATTAAAAGAAGTTCGTGAGAGGTTAAGATCTGCCGATGAACTGAAAATGAATACGTATTAACTCTCTTGCCGCACGGCGATAGACACAACCTAACGCTGTTTATTTTAATATTTTAAAAAGTATTTTATATAATCGAATGAAACTTTAAGGTAAACATGGAAATAGATAAGGACATTAGTATGTCAAATTTTGTTGATAACACTTGATTATTAAAATATTAGTAGCAATTGTGAATTACTTTTGGATCAACCCTCGTATAAAGAATATCAACTTTTATAAAGAATATCAACTTTTATAAAGAATATCAACTTTTATAAAGAATATCAACTTTTACACTATATAAATCACAGGTTTTCGCTTATAGATTAAATATGATTGCAAATCATCGCATATAAATCGTAAGATTTAAAATATTGACAAATATGAATAACTACCATACGAACATAAATCAAAAGTTTTTGAATAACAAGTTCAAGATTTGGCACATCGACCCAAGATTTTATAATATTGTAACGTGTAACTCGCCATTGCTGATTTTTTGAAATTTTTTATATTTGTTCTAGACTTGCTCAAGTCTCTATGTTTTTTTTTAATTAAATAATTTTTTGTTCATTTTGTCTCGTTGTCCTCTGCTCTCTATCATAGTTAAATATTATCAAACATTGTTTGACATTATCAAAAAATATGAAAGAGAGCACTAAAACATAGAGACTTGAGCATGTCTATATTTGTTCGTACAGTGCTATTCAATACACAAATGTAGCAAAAATATATATGTTTATAATCATACTGACATTTAGTTTTTCTTTTGTTTTGTAAAAAAAATAATAAAGGATTCGGATAGATGGGAGATTTACGTGAGCTTTTATTTACCCAACGACGATCCAACTCCATACTTTGAATGGAACGATTTGGTGCCAGGAAAATTCATCGTCATCTTGTTTCCATGTATCCATTTCTTCCGTGATGAAACTGTCGGAATACGTGTAGACAAACCGAAAAACGTTAAAGTCCTTGATGTGTAAGATTAATTCCAAGTCGGTGAATTGTTTTAAAATTTAGTATATACTCTTTAGTCTTTATTTTCATGGAATGTATTAATCATGACAAGGGTATGAAAAACAGAAGTCATTATATGTACATTTTTAATTCATATTAAGTGAAGAACAATTTTATTTTTGGCTGATACACATGTACATGAACCTACGACGGTTGACAGCGGCCGTCACTTTTGATAAAGAATGTTATCATATTGTATAGCCTTTTTGTCAATTTTCGTTGACAAATTACAACTAAACTGGCATTGCCATATGTACATGTACAATTATTACACTGACAATTTTCACTGAGGACAAACATTAAAATTCTATCTTCTATGTGATATGAGATGAAGATTACATAAACAGGTTATTTTTGACGTGGTGCAACCGTAATTTGCTTTTTACTCCATTGTATGGTATGTATTGGCAAATTAGGAGGGTGCCCTTCCTCCCCCCGGTTGCTACGGCCTGCTTTGAAAATGTAAATTAAAGTGCAATGTCGAATGGCATTTCTAGAAAGATTTTTAAGATTTTTGTTGTTGTTGTTGTTTGTTTGTTTTTCATATTCCACTTCTAAATGCTAAATGGGAATGTTATGAACATAAGGTTGAGAAATCAAGACAAGAAAGCATAAACATTTTTGGATGAATAAACACTTTTCTTAAATTTTTGGATCCGTTTTTAATATGACATCTTAATAGCATTCAGTTTTCATATAAAAAAAAGCAAAATTGATAATGCTGTATAGCGTTTAAATCTGGATCTTCTGGTTATTTGAAATACTTTAATTACGTTATACATGCATACCCCATTTATATTATTTCAGTGTCCAAAATAATAAATTTTCAATGAAGTTTAATCATAATGCAATTTACTATTGAATTCATTACAAATCTGAATTATCAATGGATAACTGCCACGGGGCAATTCTAATTAGAGGAATAGATAGTGATGTTGAGGGGGGGGGGGCTCCCCCGGAAAATTTCAAAGATAAAGATGCCTAATCCTGCATTCTGGCTGTATTTTTCAACAAACAAGCAAATTCAAAGAATTGTGGTCCCCGCTCTCGCCCTCTTAGCGCATGGGATGCCATTATTTATGACACATTGTAACTGTCTTCTTTGTTTGTCCTGTCTTGTCTGTGCATTATACAAAAAGACAAATTATTGAATTTATTAACAGTTATGGCAAAGATTATAGCTTCTTCTCAAAACTACATCAAACTTCAAGATCAAAGTCATGAGGTCAAATGTTATAATAAAGTCCGAAGGGTCTTGTCACAAGTAAAGCACATGTGAAAAAAATATTAAAAACCAGAATATACAATCGGAAAGGTTTTGAAACAGGTAATGCACATGTCAAATACCATATCTTCTTTCAAACAAAAGTTATCAGCAATGTTAATTTTATTTGTAATTAGGGCAAACCTCAAGGTCAAGCTCATGGGGTTAAAAACCCTGGTACTTTTGGAAATGCTTATCACAGGTAAAACACGTGTCAAATATGAATGCTCTATCTTCGCTCCTTCAAAAGTTAGCAACACTTGAACAAGCTTGAAGACTTGTTCAGTAGGGCCTCTATTTTCAGTTGTCCTGGGCTAGCGGCCTATCGTAAGTGTCGAACCCTGTGACATCATTCAGGTGTATTAGATTTTGCTTAGTATCTACGTTTTTGCAAACTTTTAAAAAGCGGCTCATTTATCATTTATTGCTATGTACATTATTATATATATCCACAGATTGCGTTGGCTTTCGACATTGAATTATGCGCTAATATCAAAAATAATCAAAATTGTATTTTGACATTGATATATCTACATGTATAACATAATAGTTCATGTATAAGCAATTATATCATAAATGCACTGAAAACCTTCATCACATTTTTTTAATTTATTGACGTTGTCACACCTTTACACGCTCAAGGGTAGTTTTACTGACTTGACTTTTTACAGTTGAAATTTGGATCATGAAATTTAATTAGAAATTATTTATACATTTGTTTTGGTTCTTTTATTTTACATAAAGTGCATGCATTAAAAATTGTAAATTTCCCCTACCTTTTCCAAGTAAACATATGTGTGCACTAACTCTTTAAACTATCATTTTTGTACTTTGCAATGAGTGCGAGATATTTTTTTCTGTACGTACTGGTTGTAATTCTTCTCATCTTTCATACTATATATAATGAAAATGGGATTCAGAGTAAAATATAACTTTTATTGCACACGTGTATAGCAATATTTTGTAAACAGGGAAAACTTGCTTCATCTTCCACACGCCATCCAGCTGACTCTGGCTCCGTACAGCACCGAGTCTCCCCATCTTGCGAGGTTTATGCTAAACCCTGTCCTAGTTATATCCTTTATCTCTGTGCTAACACGAAGGTTAACTGTACCAGCGGAATCAAGCAGGTATTATCCGTATGTTATGAAATGCTGTTTGAAATGTGATTGTTTGTCCATAAGGCCAATTAGGAGCAGGGGCGGTGTGTTGTCCTAAAATGCCCGATTCACCTACATGTATTTGTAATTAACAAAAAAAATTATAAAGAAAGAAATTTTATTTTTTTGATTAAGATAATTGAAGATTGACCTTAAAAAAGAGAAAACTGATATATTTTTAACAATGACAAAATTGGAATGCTGGCATCAATAAAATATACTCACATCTGAATTCTTTCCCTAAAATGAACAAGTTGTAGAATTAAGTAATTAATACAATGCATATCAAATATATATATACATTGTAGATCAATTTCAACATACTATTTGCAATATCTCTTTCGAGCGACGAAATAGAAGATTTCATTGCATCAATAGTGGCCATCATGTTTTTAATTGTGGACGCCATTTCTGCGATAGCCTTCTCCATTTCCATTCCTTTCGCTTTTTTGACAAAAAACTGCTCGAGGACCCTCTGAATTGGATTGTCACTATTTCTAGCTGCTTCATCTGATCCATTATTTTGTAATCCAGGAGGCTAACGAGGAGAATTGCAGTATGAGTTAAAAACAAAATTATTAACCTTTCCTCACTCACCGAGTAATCAGGACTGCCTGGTTAATTATAATCCTTCTATAGCTATAGGCCTAATTTATCCATGAAGTTTAGTGCATTTCTTTTAATGACAAAACACCACAGTCAATGCTTTAATTTCATGTGCAAATGAATTTGATATTTTTAATCATATATAAATAAATGTTGTGCTGCTTTACTTAAGAGTTATAAACTTTTATCAAATAAAGAGAGATTTATTAATATTTCCAGCTATGACTGTCCTTTAAAATCTGGCTTACTTGAGTAGCAGCTGATGTAACAAGAATTAATGCGCTCACTACCATGTACCTAAAGAAACTCATCCTTCAAACTGAAAATAATTAAATACCGGTATTTGAATACAAATATAAAGAAAACAATATCAACGTTAGAGACAGATAGGGACATTTTGACAACACGTCGATCTACCTACACGTTCTTCAAAATAAATTATCTTTCCTGGAAAAACAAGCATTCTGAGAGTATTGCATTAGCAATACTAGTCCCCTACCGCAAGTGTAATCTGGTTCCCATTAAAAATTGAAAATGCCATAATTCCGTCAAAAATCAATGAAGCGGAACGAAATGCAATCTTGATCTATAACTCATCAAGGTTGAGTCACATACCTAAATTCAGCTCAATATCTGCAAGCGTTAAGAAAAATAAGGCGGAAAACCAAGTGGGACAGACTGACAGACAGACGGACATACAGACGGACAGACAGACAGACAGAACAGACGGATGGACAGAGGAAACCTATAGTCCTCTCCGGTTTCACCGGTAAGGGACTAATAAAACGTCAAAATTAAATTATATGGTGGAAAAAATAAAGGTCGTAACAGAAAAACAAGTGAATTACATATCAAGTTTGACCGGTTGATTGATTGAATGATTAATTGATTGATTGACGGATTGATTTACTAATCGCAAGGGTTGGTTGTTCTTGAATAAGATGCATGTATAGAACTGTACAGGTCATTCCAAATAATTTTTAAGATAAAAGAAAACACGAGTCAAAAAAGAATGTGGTTTTTTTGTGCACAGAAATTTGCGATTTATTCTTTGAAAAGTAGCATTTAATATTCAGCGTTAATAATGTTACAAAATTATATTTCTGAAACTTAAATAGAGTTGTGGTTGTTAATATTTTGCATTTGTCAATTTAAGGTTTGTGTGAAAGATTTTTACTTGAAGGCAAATGAACTAAAGAAACACCTGTTTCACAATATATCTATATAACATAATTATATTCCTCTGGTGATTTTTCCCAAGTAATGACATACAATTTTTAAATTGCCAACAATACTTACAAATATACAGCTGCTCAATATAATATCAACGTGTCTGTATCTGGCTTTCTTTTATATCAAATTATAGCAATTAAATAGAGTAGACATGTGTTGCTTCCATCATGACTGATCTTTGTTCAGAATGAAAAAAGGTCCCCCGGAAGAAAAGCTGGCAATTTATACAAAAACAATTATCTTGAAAAGACCTGGAGTAACGGTAATGTGTCATGGTAATGCATTGTCATCATTACATCATTAAATTTTTTCACAGGAATGGGATGTAATGTGTAATGGATCCATTTTTCAATTACAAGTAATTGTAATGCAATACATTATTTTCAAAAAAATATCAGTAATGACCATTATATTATTTGATTTTATTTCAATTATAATATTTTGTATGTTAATCTTTTGTATTTTTATTATATTGAATTTGAAACAAATAAAAGTTAGATACAAGTTTGTTTTTTTAATTATTGATATTACTTTCTTGAAATCAAAACCTTATATAACTCTTTTTTCTTTTTTTAAATGTTTATTCAGTGATGATGGAAAGACATACTAAATAATTATTTCAATGGAAAAATTTTTAACAGGACAATTATAAAATCATTTGAAATAAAGTTAAGAAAAAATATTGAAAGAAATTATTTAATTTCAAAGATAGCCCAAAAACAAGTGATATTTGTACTCACTACCAAGCTCTGACCCTTTTTTGAGTGACACTCTGTATGTATATTTTTCAGTATGATTTTTTTTCACAAAGTTTATTCTGTAGAAATGGACTTGGTATCCAACATACTACATCAGTATCATCTACTAGAAGACATATAGGGAAACGTTAAGACCAAATGTAAATATTGTCCATTCTATTTCTAGCAGCTTGAGAAACGCCTCAAATTTCAAAGGCTGTATTTCACTACCAAAATTTTGAAATCTGGTCGGATTTTATTGCCGAAAATTATATTTCCTTTCATTTCCGAAAAAATATCAGATATTACCGAAAATTCAAAGATACCGGTTAAGACCTACAAGTGTGACAGAAAAACATAGCATTTGTATTCAGATATATCGGAGCCATGTTACGCCAGATTTTAATTTTTGTATTCCATTTAGGGCTACAAGTACTCTGCAGTAAATGATATGCAGATATTCATGCTATAGATTACAGTGACAAAGTGATCGATCTCATAAAAGTCTACAAACAATAGACATTTGTGAACAGGGCATAAAACACATACCTCTGGAAATTCAAGAAATGGGATCAGGTGCCTAGGAGGAGTAAACATCCCCTTTCGACCGGTCCCACCCGCCATATATATTGATCAGGTAGACAGAACATTCCTTAGTCATACTTACTATAAAAACAAAGGCCTAACAATTGATATAAAATACGTCAGCCAAAATACAATCCAATGATGGGTTATTTTTGCTAACAAGGTCATTATAACGGCTATAAAATTTACGAAATGATGACTTAAAACGAGGTTGTTGAAATTCCTGTAGAACCAACTCATCTGTCAGTAGCCTGTCTCTGTTTAAAAACTGATCATAATCAGAGCATAATCTTGAGTATCGAATAAATTTGGAGACGTTAACATCATATGCTGGTGATAGCGGAATATTCCTACATAAATAAGGAAAATTGACTATGGATAAGCTGAAGTCATCTCGATTGTCATACAATTTTAGTTGTTAGTTGTCCCTTATCGTCTATAGACGGTAAAACGTCCAAATATATAAACACACATGGCAGACTCTGTGGTGTCTTTTATTTCAATTTCACTGGGATATATCCAATCGACATATGAATGGAAGTAACTATTGTTAATAGATAAAAAGTCGTTGATATATCTGAAAGTCGACTTGTAGGCCACAAAAAGTGTTTTTTCTTCTCAAGTGGAAGTTTTTGAACAAATTCTGCTTCACAGGAATATAAAAACAGGTTTGCTAATATAAGAGCAGAGTTTGTGCCCATCGAAATTCCAATATTTTGTTCGGAGACCAGGTCTTCCATCCGATGGCACAAACTGGTTCCTTTATTAGCAAACCTATTTTTTATATTCTTATGATTCAGAATTTGAATAAATACATGTAAATGTTGTCAAAGAGAAACTCAAGCATTCTTTAATTATATCAACTTCAGAGTACTTGTGTGTAGAATCAGAGTGGATCTATTTTCTAGAAAGAGTTCATGTAGTTTAACTATATACAGTTGACAAAGTGGATTGGAACACATGTAGATTTATAAGCGTTTTATTCCAGTTTAAACCGACTGTAAATAAGATAATTATCTGTTTTTGGTTGAAAAAATGCCGTATTTTACTACATTCAGTAAAATTTTCCAGCTCAAATTTCATCTACTCATTGTGATAACTCGAAGATGACAACATTTAGTATAGTCTGACTAATGGAAGAGGTTAATAAAAATATATAAATTTCAGAACTTTTATACTTTGGTTTGAAAATTAACTATTTAAAAATAGTTTTCGGAAACGATATAATATTTTCAGAATTGAAAAGAAAAAGATCGGTAAATTAAATGCAATTATATTGATTTTCGGAGTGGAATATCTGGGTACCAGTAATTATTAACTTTAATTGTGTTAGATTATTTCTTAAGTGCTAAATTATTTAATAATAAATGTGTTCTGCCTGTTTAACAATGTAAGGGTTTACAAGGTCGTTTACAATGACAACTTATATTATCAATTTATTAGATACAATATCATGTAAAACGCATATATCATATTGGATTAAACAAGTAAATTCAAAGAATTGTGGTCCCCCGCTTTCGGTGTCTTAGTGGATGGGATGCCATTATTTATGGCATATTGTGTCAAATATGAACGCCCAATTATATGTCATTCAAAAGTAATCACCAAAGTTAATTTTTTTTGAAAATTAAGTCAAACATGAAGGACAAGGTCAAGGGGTCAAAAATCATAGCATGCTCGAAAACATCTTCTCACAGGTAATGTAAATGTCAAATATGAAAGCCCTATCTCTTTTCATTCAAAAGTTATAGGCAAAATTAACATTTTTGAAAAGAAGGTCAAACTTCAAGGTCACAAGGTAAAAAATCATAGTATAATTAGAAAGGTCTTGTTACAAGTAATATACATGTGCAATGTGAAAGCCCCATCTTTTCTCTTATAAAAGTTATGACCAATTTAAAGTAAAATTTTTGAAAAGTAGGTCAACTTCAAGGTCAAGTTCACAGGGTCAAAAATCATATCATATTTGGAAAGGTCTTGTCAAAGGTAATGTACATGTGAAATATGAAAGCCCTACCTCTCCTCATTCAAAAGTTATGAACAAGGTTAATGTTTTTGTGACAGACTGACAGACGAATAAGTTTTAATGTCCCCTCGCTTTCGCGAAAGCGGGGGACAAAAAAAACAGAGGAACTAACATAAGAACTAAAGAAGTCTTCAAGTATTCAAATCCACTTCGTCAATTGCATATAATTAAACTACATGTATTCTGTTCAGAAAATAGATCCAAATTGTAACTGTAATCGTAAAATTCCAAAGTAACATTACTGTAATATAAAGGAACCTGGACACAATTGCATCGTTTACATTTTAAATTCTTATGCTTATTCAAAAATAAAACCAGTTAAATGAATTGAACTTACATGAATATTCTTAGAATTCAATGACAACGACATTTTTCTTTACATCACGTCAAACATCTGTTTTCTGCAAACAGGGCAAGAGCTCTGCTATTGTTAATGTTTACGTTTCACCGGATGTGTTCAAAAACTCTGCACACATATCACTGAGTACGGACCGACGATACTGGTGATTTGTTTTTGCTTTTTCACATTTCTACGACGAATTTTCTGGATTATAGCTTTTTTAATGTTTTTCATTAACACACAACAAAATTTCTACTTTTCTTAAGTATTAAAGATAAAGTTTACTTTGTGAAAATGCAAGTATGTGTCAATCAAACGCGTCCCGAAATTCGTAGTTTCAATAATTTCCAGACAAAAGACGTGTTTGAACAAGCTTTTATTATATTTCTGTGTGAAATGCTATATAAGCCATGATATTATATAGAAACTGAGAGAAAATATCAACTTCAGATCTGTGTCCAGACCCCTTTAAATAATGCATATTATTGAACAAGTTACTGACCCCAGGTCTGTACAAATAAGACGATTTGTTGATAC